AAAAGGAAGTTCTTGTTCACGCAGCGCACAGTCAACTTGTGGAACTCCTTACCTGAGGAGGTTGTGAAGGCTAGGACTATAACAGAGTTTAAAAGAGAACTGGATAAATTCATGGTGGTTAAGTCCATTAATGGCTACTAGCCAGGACAGGTAAGGAATGGTGTCCCTAGCCTCTGTCTGTCAGGGTGGAGATGGACGGCAGGAGAGAGATCACTTGATCATTGCCTGTTAGGTTCACTCCCTCTGGGGCACCTGGCATTGACCACTGTCGGTAGACAGGATACTGGTCTAGATGGACCTTTGGTATGACCCGGTATGGCCTTTCTTATGTTCTAAAACTTAAAAGGTAGGTTAATTTTGCTTGACAGCAACTTGGAAATGTTGCATTCCTTTATTTCTCTGTGTGGTGACCGAGTGCTGAACCGCAATGGAAGTGCATCAGAAAAATACATTTTTATGGCAGACAAAACCGAGGACTGCAATTAACAAAAATACTCATGAGCTGAATTCAGGGAATCCCCATGCATTTCTATACTGCGAATGCAGTGACAATCACCTTTCCACCAGTTTGTTTAGACTTCATTCCTGCAGAGGCCAGATGTCTCTTTATGATTGAATCTGGCCCTAAAATGGGTTCCTACTAGAAGTGAACAGTGTCTTGGTGATGAAGGCCACACTTCTGTCTGCTGTCAAATGTCAGGCTCAAAAATAGGCATAAGGTATTATGTAAAATATATGGAGATATACCTATCTCATAGAGCTGGAAGGTCATTGAGTCCAGCCCCCTGCCTTCACTAGCAGGACCAAGTACTGATTTTGCCCCAGCTCCCTAAGTGTCCCCCTCAAGGATTGAGCTCACAACCCTGCATTTTAGCAGGCCAATGCTCAAATCACTGAGCTATTTCTCCCCTCACAGGAGTAAAGCTCATGGATGAAATCCTGGTTCCCTTATGAAATCCCATTGACTTCATTGGAGCCAGGATTTCTCCCCCTGTGTTCTGAAAATCATCTCAAATGTCTTTTGATCTTCTTTGAGGATCTACTTTAAACAAAAAGCATAAATAAGGGGTGTTGATGATCATCATGTATGTCACTTTTTGTCTTTTTTTAATTAATTAAATATTGTAATTCTGAGGGCTCCAAAGGGCTACAATAACACTAATAATAAATTACTTTATCCTACCATCTATCCCATTGGACTGAATAAAACAAACCCGAGAGAAAAGGGGGAGGAGACCCAACAAAATAAGAAACTAATCATTCTTATAAATAAGGGAAGAAATGAAATAAACATGAATATTGTTTTGGAAAGCCTTCAGAAAATAACCGGAAACAACCTCTCCAGGAAGACTCAATTAAACACTTCAAACTTTCTTAATAAAAGGAGAGAGGGGGAGGAAAACAACTGCAAACAAATGGAGAAGTCCAAAGCAAACCCAGTGAAAGATATGGAAGAGAAGATGAACAAAGCAAGTTACTTATTATTCAATACCAGTATGCGCTCTCAGCTAGGATCTCCAGGATGGAGCCAGTGACTGTCCCCTTTAAAGGGTTGAGTTCCCTTAATAACATGTGCATTTCTCTTTTTGGTTAGCAGTATATGGTCGTTGGTACAAATCTCAAAATACCCTCCAGCTGAGCGTTTGTGAATGGGCTGGTCACAGGCATGGGATGATTTTGTGGGGGTATTGTCACCAAATGGTTGCTGGACAATGGTGATGTGGCCAGACAGAGA